GAAATCAAGATGAATTTCACTGGGAAATCTCATGTCTGGGACCTCTCCAGAGTGCTAAAGAACAACTATATGAGTCTAGAGACTAAAGAGTGGCTGATCTACGCCATAGCTGTTGTAATTACTTGCTACACAACAGAAAGCTGGACAATGACTGAGGATGACAGAAGAATTGACACCTTTAAGCTCTGGTACTAGGGAAGAGGATTGAACATACCATGGACTGCCAAAAGAACAAACAAATCTGTCCCAGAGAGGGTGAAGCCAAGCTGCTCCTTCGAGGTAAAGATTTTAAAGTTCTGTCTCACATACTTTGGGCATGTTGCCCAGAGGGGACAGTCTTTAGAAAAGGGCATCATGCTCGGAAGGGTAGAGGGTTAGGGTTAGTGTTAGGGCACAAAAAAGGAAGACTCAGGATGAGAAATAGATTGAGATAATGCAGGTTGGTGTGTCAGAGACAGTGAGACTGGCTCAGGATAGGGCAGGTTTCAGAGCTACTATACACAGGGTTGCTGAGTCACAGGCAACTTAAGGATACATGATGACAACAACAACAACAAACTTACTTGTGTCTTTTCATGTGCTTAGGTGTCGTCTATCTTTGCTGAATATTCAAATCTTTAGCTCATTTAAAATTTTTTTTCATATAATCTACATTTGAGAGCTTCTTACACATTCTGAATACAACTTCTCGATCAGACCTGTTTGGCAGAGATTTTTTTTTCCTAGCTGCATAAGGGCAGGGCTAAAATACCTCTACAGGGCATGTTTACCTCCAGTCACAACCTGAATGACATGAAGCTCTTCATCCTTGCCAAACGCCTCTGCTTGCAACACTTGTTTGCCCTCACAGGAGAGACCAGTCCTTAGAGAAGGACATCATGCTCAAAAGGGTAGAGGGACAGCACAGGAAGAAGACCTAAGATGAGATGGATTGATACAGTATCTGGGGGTTGGTGTGTCAGAATTAATGAGATTGGCTGAGAACAGGGAAGGCACCTAACAACAATAACATACTGTACTAGTTGTTTTAGTTAAGCCTCTGTTTAGTCGAAAAGATCTCAAGAAGGACCCTTGTATTTAAAATTGATTGTTATTATATTTTGGAGGAACAATCTTCTAAGTGGTACACTACTATTCTGTCAATATTCTGTACTGATGTAACCTGGGGTTGCTGTGATGCTAAACCTTGTACCACTGGGGTGTCAAATGCCACCCATGGTGGACAGTGTTTAGTGGAGCTCCCAATTTAAAACAGGTCTGGAAGCAGGAGTGGCATCCACTTCCTAAACAACATGCTCTGGAAACTCTATGAACTTTGATAAATGACAAAAGTTACAGAAAGGCTTCAGGCCTTTTGTTCATAGGTTCACTATGAGTCGTGCTCAACTTGACGGCAATCAACAACAGCAACAACTGCAATTTGTCTCTTCATTCTCTTAACAGAGTATTTCAAAGAGAAGATTTTTACTGGAAGTCTAATTCACCTTTTTTTTTATTTAATTGAACATGCTTCAGATGTTATAACTATATACAAAAGGAGCCCTGGTTGTATGGTCCTTTATGTATTGGAACGCTAAGGAAAAATGACGAGGCGGCCTCCTTTCACAAAAAATGTGCAGCCTCAGAAGGCCTGTGGAGGGTCACTGTAAGTCACAATCTACTCATGGCTGAAAGCAGAGAATACCAGAGGAATGTCTATCTGTGTTTCATTGACTATGCAAAGGCATTTGACTGTGTAGATCATAACAAACTGTGGCTGACTCTGAAAAGAACGGGAATCACAGAACACTTGACCGTTCTAATGTGAAACTTATACTTGGACCAGGAGGCAGTCGTCAGAACAGAGCAAGGGAACACTGCATGGTTCAAAATTGGGAAGGGCGTACACCAGGGATGCATCCTATCTCCATACCTTTTCAACCTATATGCAGAACAGATTATCCGGGAGGCTGGGCTCTATGAGGAGAAATGTGGGGTCAAGATTGCTGGACGATTTATCAACAGTCTGCGTTATGCGGATGACACAACCCTGCTTGCTGAAACTGAGAAGGACCTGACGCGCCTGCTGCAGAGGGTCAAGGACTGCAGCCTACAATATGGACTGAGGCTCAATGTCAAGAAGACAAAGATTCTCACCACTGGACCAAAGATTCTCACCACTGGACCAATTGGCAGCATCAGGATGGATGGTGAAGAGATTGAGATTGTACACAGCTTTAGTTTGCTTGGCTCCATAGTCAACAGTCTTGGCACCAGCAGCCAGGAAATTAAAAGGCGCATTGCCATGGGAAAGTCTGCTGTTAGGGACCTCTCCAAAGTGCTGAAGAGCAGTGGTGTCTCTCTGGAGACTAAGGTGCATCTGATACAGGCCATGGTCTTTGCAATCACCTGTTATGCATCAGAGAGTTGGACAATGACCAAGGAGGATAGAAGGAGAATTGATGCCTTTGAGCTGTGGTGCTGGAGAAGAGTATTGAGAATACCATGGACTGCTACGAAAACAAATAGATTTGTCCTGGAGAGGGTTAAACTGGGTGGCTCCTTGGAGGCAAGGATTCTGAGGCTCCGTCTAACTTACTTTGGACATGTTGTGAGGAGAGACCGGTCCTTGGAGGGGGACATCATGCTTGGGAGGGTGGAGGGACGGCGCAGGAGAGGAAGGCCCTCTATGAGATGGATTGATTCAGTGACTGGGATAATTGGGATGGGAGTGTCAGAGACAGTGCGATTGGCACAGGACAGAGCGGAGTTTAGGGCTGTTGTACATAGGGTCACTATGAGTCGCAGGCGACTCGACGGCACATAACAACAAACAACATGTTAAGAAATCACTGCTTCATACAAAGCTATACTTCTCTGGTAGATTTTTACATTATATTCAGCAAGACTTTACTTGTATGTGATATTAATGACAATGTTCTTTAATTCCAGCATTTTGTTCAACTTTTAGAATGGACAAAGCATTGAGCTCTTCTAATTGGTTGGCCAGGTGCCTGCTTTCCATATATCCCATCATCTTCTTCCTTAAAAAACAAGGATATTTAATCGCATGCAATCTCTCAAAGAAGTTCGCAGAGAATAAGAGAGAACAGTGATTCTGTGTATTTCTTCTATTTTCATTTGAGGCTTCCTCAATCATTCAAAACTTTCCTCGTGTTGTTGCTGTTGCATACCATACAGTCTGGACTTACTCATAGCTGATCCTCCAGGGGATTTTCAAAGGCAGTAAATCACATGAGTTGACTGCCCATCTTTCTCTCATGGAGCAGCTGGTGAACTGGAACTGTGTACTTTTGGAATGGCAGTGAAATTCCTTACCACTCGGCCATCAGAGCTCCTCTCTTTCATAATGCTTTTCAAACTTAAATTTATTCTTGTTTTTTCAACTTGAGAAAGCAAAGTCTTATGATGAAATGTGCAAAGATTTGACATTAGAAAATCAAAAAGGTAGAACATACTCGGCATTTCTCAAGCTAAAAGCAGATGGGTAAGTAAATTTAAAACTGATTTTTCAGCTAAATTAACAACTTCTAAAACTAAAGCTAAAAGGGAAAGGAAAATAAATAAAAGGGGGGAAAGGGAGATTCTTGGCTTTTTAATAATGTCCTGTAGATCCCTCATGCCTTCTCTAATCCTCTACTATTTTTTCCTTTCATTTATATTGTTGTTGTGAGGTGTCGTCCAGGCGTAGACAACTCATAGTGACTCTATGAATGAAAGACCTGAACACTTGTATAACTTTGATCATTTCTCCATGTTCATAGAGGTTAGGGCCATTATAGCTATAGCTGAATGACAGGACTTTAAATTTCAAATAATTACCTAAATTATTAGCTATATCACATACATCTATCTTATTCTTTCCAAAGAATCTAAAATGTATCTCATGTGAAAACATCAATGCTGATGTTGTGTGTCATCCAGTCACCTGAGACTCACAGCGACCCTATGTCCAATAGCCCTGAACCTTGCCCTATCCTGAACCAATCTGTCTCCAATTCACCTTCCCCCATTACACCAGTTACTGTGTCAATACATCTCCTCCAGAGGCTTCCTCTCCTGTGCTGCTTCTCCACTTTTCCAAGCATGTCATTCTCCAAGGAATGGTCCCTCCTGGCCACACGCCCACAGTACATGAGACAGAGCGTCAAAATTCTTGCCTCCAAATGGCAACTTGGTTTCACCCTCCAGAACAGATTGTTTTCTTGGTAGTCCATGGTATATTCAGTACTCTTCTTCAACATCACAACTCAAAAGCAGTGATTCCTCTTCTGTGATCCTTATTCATTGTTCAGCTGTCTGATATTGCAAAGACCATGGTCCAAATCCAGACCCCCTTAATCTATAAACTGACATCACACCCAAGTTTTCACAAGAAAAATTTTTGTCAGTAACTCAATAAACAGTGTTGCTATTGTTGAGTCTCCTATGAGTCAATTACAACTCACAGCAACGCTATGAACAACAGATCTGAAGCGTGCCCTCTCCTGCACCATCCTCACTATCTCTGATATGCTCTGGACCATCATTATAGTCACTGTGTCAATTCATCTTGGTGAGGGTCTTCCTCTTTTTTCTGACCTTTCCCAGTATGACGTCTTCTTCAAAAGACTGGCCCCTCTTGACAAAATGTTCAAAGTATTATGTGAGGTCAAGTGTCATAGTCCTTGCCTCTAAGAAGCACCTGACTGCACTTTCTCCAAGGTGACTTATTTGATTTTTTTTGCCACTCTATGATATATTCTCCCACCACCATAATTCAAAGGCATCAACAATTCTGCCATCCTTAATTCCTTGTCCAGTTTTGAGATGCATAGAAAGCAACTGAAAATGCTATGTTTTCGATTAGGTGCACCTTAGTCTTTAATATCATTATATAATGACAATAATATTTCTTATTAATAGGTTTAAAGTACCTGAGTTTTTCTCCAATTCAAGGTGGGTGTCATGACTTTTTTTCCAGACATAAATTTTTCCATAGTAGACAAAGTAATACTTACCTATCAAGGAAATCCTTGTCTACCACAGCAGAGATATCAAGAAGTGGGTTTCCCATTCCAAAAAGAACATTTTCACTAAAAAAGACAAAATACAATCCAAGTTACAAATACTGTTAAGTTGGTGTAGAAAATGTAAGCAAATAACAAAATAAATATCTTCATCTTGAAAATAAAGCCAATTTCCTATTTATTAAATCTTCAATCTATTAGTTTTAGAACATTTAAGAGGTAACACAAAATCATTTAAAAGGGATGATCTTTAAATTGGCTGGAACAAAATATAATAAAAAAAATAATATTTTTTCCATAAACTTGAACAGCTAATGTCTGAAATAAATTCAACATTAAGAAGAGAAAAACGTTCATTACAACAAAGCTCTATACTTAATAATTCCCGAGTAGAAGTAAACCACAGACCACACAGGCATTTGACAGCTATTAAAACACTATAGATGGAAGGTAGTTACGTAGTTTGAGGAAATCTGTTTTCCATAATTGAGTGCATAAAAAAACAGGACTCAAATTCAAGGTGAAGAAAGAATTCCATCACAAATAATGCCTTAACAGAAGCGAAAGTGACAGCAAGAAACTGACTAGAGGACAGGGCTGGATACGCCGCCTAACTGAAAGGCATTTTAGTTTATTCAATAAGATTTTTCAATAGAACCAGATGATATTAAATCGATAATATCAGTATACTATGGAAAGCTACACTCTCTGATAAATTTGAAAACCTAGAGGAAATGGACAAATTCCTTGAAACTCACGCTCTACTCAGACTGAAACGGACAGATGTAGAACACTTGAACTGACCCATCAAAAAGAAGAAATTGAACGGGTCATAAAAAGACTTCTCCCTAAGAAAAGTCCTGGATCAGATGGCTTCACTGTTAAATTCTACCATCAAAAAAAGAATTCATCATGACCTAGTGGGATTCATAAGAGGTATGTAAAGGTTCAACATAAGAAAAACAACTCACCACATTGTTTTTATTGTTATGTGCCGTCAAGTCACCTGCAACCCATAACGACCCTATGTACAGCAGCTCTAAATTCTACCCTGTCCTAAGCCAGTCTCACAAATTCTGACACTGTTACTGTATCCATTTTTGACACAGGTACTCTATCAATCCACCTCATCTGGGGTCTTCCTCCTCCACGCTGTCTCACCACCCTTCCAAGCATGACGTTCTTCTACAAGGATGGATCTCTCCTGGCTAGGTGCTCAAAGTAAATGGGATGGTGCTTCAAAATCCTAGCCTCCAAGGAGAAACTTGGCTTCACCCTCTCCAAGACAGACCTATTTGGTTTTTGGTTTCTGTCATCCTTAGTCATTGTCCAGCTCTCTAAGGCATAGCAAGTAACTGCAAAGACCACGGCCTGGACTAGGTGCACCTTTATTTCTAAACCGCCACCATTGCTTTTCAGCACTCTGAAGACAAATTAACAAGAACTATATGATCTGAGCAATTGATGCAGAAAACTCATGTGACAAAATCCAACACCCCTTCCTCATAAAGACACTCAGCAAAATTGAAATATAAGGCAATTTCCTCAACATAGTGAAAAAAGTATATGCAAAACCAGGAGCCAGTATCATTTTCAATGGAGAAAGACTAAAAGCATTTTCCTTGTGAACAGGGAGTAGACAAGGATGCCCACTGTCACCACTTCTGCTCAATACTGTATTGGAAGTACTTGCTAGGGCAATAAAACACGACAAGGAAATAAAAGGTATAGAGGTGAGCAAAGAAATGGTTAAACTGTTGCTATAGGCAGATGATATGATAGTGTACACTGAAAACCCTAAGGACTCAACCAAAAAACTATAAGAGCTAGTAAACCAATTTAGTAGAGTGGCAGGATATAAGATCAATATCCAAAAATCAGTGGGATTCCTCTACAGTAACAAAGAGAACTCAGAGAAGAAAACCAAGAAAGCAATACCATTTATAATAACTAACCACAAATTGAGATACTTGAGAGTGAACTTATATAGAGACACATGAGACCTGTACAAAGAAAACCACAGAACATCTGTGCAAGACACAATAAAAGACCTACAGAAAAGGAAAAATGTGCCCTGTTCATGGAGAGGAAGACTCAATATTGTGATAATCCTACCAAAAGCCACTGGCATGTGCAACCCAATCCCAATACAGATACCAAATTCATTTTTCAAGGAAATTGAAAGAGAAATCATAAAATTCACTGGAAAGAAAAGAGACCCTGAATAAGCAAAATACTTCTGAAAACCAAAAATGAAGTGGGAGGCACAGCACTCCCTGACTTCAAAACCTACTACAGGGCAGTAGTAACCAAAACTGCACATTGTACTTGTACAATGACAGGAACATAGACCAATGGAAAAGAATCAAGATCCTAGAAATGGACCCATCTATCTACGGTCAACTGTTATTCTACAAGGAATAAAATCTATCAAATGGGGAAATGACAACCTCTTCAACAAACGGTGAGGGCAAAACTGGGCTCCTACCTACAGAAAGCTGAAACAGGATCCACATCTCACACCATATACAAAAATCAACTCAAGGTGGACTAGAGACTAGAGAGTCAAGCCAAAAACCATAAAGTTCATCAGAGACAAACTGGTATCAAGCTTACACAATTTAGTCTATGGTACAAAGAAACTGCCAAATACAGCCAGAAATGCACAATCTAGAGAGGATAAAATTGATGAATGGGGCCTCCTAAAGATTAACTCCCTGTGCACATCAAAAGCAATTTCCACAGGGTGAAAAGAACACCTACTGACTGGGAAAAACATTTGGCAACACCATTTCAGACAAGGGTCTTATATCAAAAGTTTACAGAACCCTACAGGGCCTCCACAAGAAATAGACTGATAACTGAATTATAAACTGGGCAAAAGATATGGAAAGACTTTTCACAGAAGATATTTCCATGGCTAACACACATGAAGAAAATCACTGGCAATGAGAGATGTGCAAATCAAAAGCATGATGAGATACTATCTCACACTAGTAACGGTGGCAAAGTTCAACAAGACAGCAAGTAATAAATGTTGGAGACATTGTGACGAGATAGGAACTCTTATACACAGTTGTTGGGACTGTAAAATGGTACAACCATTCTGGAATGCAATTTGGTGTTTCCTCAAAAAGCTGAACATAAAAATTTCATATAACCCAGCTATTTCACTGCTTGGAATATACCTCAAGAAAAATAGAACTGAAGCATAAATGGAAATTTGCACACCAGTCAGATCATCTGAGCCGGGCCTTGACATGAAGGAACATGTGGGGCTGTCTGCATTCACTGAATGCTGGCCTGCTTGATCTCAACTATCTTAGATGATAAATGGTTTCCTAGGAAGAAACTCAATTCCTTGCCATTGAGTCAGAACAACCTCAGAGCTAATCCTCCTTTGGGTTTCCAGAGGCTGTAGGTTGCACAGAGATTACCCATCTTCCTTCCATATAACAGTTGGTGGATTCAAACCACCTACCTTTGGGTTTGTAGTGCAACTCCTTATCCACTAGGATACAGTTTTATTCAGTATTTCATTTAAAGAGGAAACCACAATGGAACAGGAAAGTCTGTGAGTATGAGGAAATCTTCTGATAAAATTTTCCTTCCTATTCACTGTAAAGGTCATCTTTGCTAAAGGTCAAAAGGTCTTATCTATTATGCCACACAGGCAAGAGAGCAATAAGACATTAACGTTTCTTTAATAGTTTAAAATAAAAGTGAGAATGGTCTTTTTTTAAAAAAAAAAAAGTTTATTTCTCAACTGTTTTAAGGTAGTTTAAGTTACTAGTTAGTGTTTTTGGGGTTTTTTCCTAATTGTGTACTGTCAAATCAGATCCCCCACACAGGAAGAGACTGCCCCTCCTTCTCCAGTGGAGTATCTGGTGGATTCATACTGAGAAGTCCAGAAGGGCAATTGAAAGAGACCTCTTTATTAGGCTGAAGCTCTTTATCCTCTGGGAGTAGGACAATTTTGAGGAAGACCACCTCAAAAGGAATCCTGTGCCGACGGTCACCTCCTCACCATACAATCTATAGCTTAAGTTAATCACTCATTCCAAGTCTGGTGTTTTTTGGGTTTTTTTAGAATCTTTCTCACACACATTTTGCCCTGGAGTCAGAACTAACTCCAAGCTGACCCTTCCAGGTTTTCCAGAGGCTGTAAATTGAATTAGAGGGGACTGCTCAATCTTTCTCCCACTGTACAGCTGGTAAATCCAAACTGCTCACCTTTAAATCAGCAGTGCAACTCCCTACCCACTACATCACCAGAGCTCCCATAGGTGACAGTCACTCCCTTTGAAAAAGACACAGTAAGACTTTCTGACTTGTTGACTTGCAAAGCCACAGACCATATGGATCTTAACATGCATGGCTAAAATTCAGAAGAATGGGAATCCTAAAACACTTAATTGTGTGTATGGGTTTCAAGTGAGTGTTCATGTGAAATCTATATACAGACCAAGAAATATAGATGGTACAGGAGAGGGCAAGGTTCCAATTTTATGTCCACAGGGTCACTCTGAGTTTTAATTGGCTCATCTACACCTAACAACAGGGGTCTCTAAAAATTCAGTGGAGAACATGAAATAAAACACTAAGGTATACTGAAATTATCAAGGGGAAAAGGAAAAAAGAAAAACACAAGCAAAGGCACAAGAAATAACTAAAAAAAGAAAACAAAAAGCAAAATAACATACCTAAATCCAAGGAGTTCTGGTGGCACGGTGGCTAAAGTGCTTGACTGCCAATCTAAGACTAAAAAGGTTGACAAATACTATATAACATAGGAATAACTGAAGAACATTATGCTGAGTGAACCAACTCACTCTCATAAGGACAAACACTGCACAAGACCATTATTATAAAATAGAAGGATAACTAGTAAAATGTGCTTGGAAGCCCAAGGGGTAAAGAGGTGGGAGCAGAAGGGCTGAGGATGAGCAGGGAGGAAACCACGGAGTCATCCAATTTTGTGTGTGAAGGGAAGAGGTAAGGGAAAGGGGGAAATATCCAGCAAGTACCTGAAAAGATGGGGTAACAGTAGGTATAGTTCAATGGTG